CCCGGGACCAGCGAAAAAAGACCCCTGAAGAATTAAACACTGAGTTGACTTCTATACTGGAATATTTGAATTTGTGCAGGGTTTTTAATGTTTTTAAACTGGAAGAACTGTGAAAAACAAACAAAAAAAAAAACCAACTAAAAATCCTTCTCAATTACTTGTTCTACTTCTTGAGTAGAAACTGAGGGGGAAGGTGTTGAAATGAGCAGATTACAGGCACCACAGGTCAGGACAACGGCAGTGACTCAAGCACAACACGAGCTCTACAGTGTGTCTCATATCGCTTTATCAAGTCTGTCTTCTCCCAAATATGTATGTTCCAACATATTACATTGCAAAAATAGAGAAATTAATATTGCTTTATTTRAATGAGAGCTGATAGATGTATGATATATTGAATTTTACACGAGGACTTAAAGTGGATTCACATTTTCCATCAAAGGGAAAGTGGAATTATTTTGGAATAATATATGTAGTCAAGTAAAACGTATCAGCTCTGCCCTCAGCTAAACAACGGAATGTATTTATGTATGTTTTATTGTTATTTTGGTTGGAATTAAGGAAAATAACGTAAAAAAAAAAATCACAAACTGAGGAATTGGGCATTAGAAACCAGCAACGTGCCTATAAGCTGTTAAAAAAAGAGATAATTTCAGGGAATGTTCACAACCGCCTTCTTCAGTCAGCTAMGGTTGTGTTGTGTTTTGCTCTTTAGACTTTTCCCAGCTTCCCACAGTCTGTCAGTATCCGTAGGCTCTTTCACAAAACAGTTGTGCAAAACGACCGCAAAGACCAGTCTGCGGACTGTGGTTGTTTAAAGAACAGATGGAGCCTAGATGTTAGCTTTCAGCAGAGGAACAAACATCGCAGAACCAAAAGAGGCGCGGGGCAGAATTAAATAATTAAATGTTTGATGTCTCTGTCTTAACGTTTTCTAAAAATGATAAATTACTCTAACTTAGTTTAGTGATTCTGTTTGTGGTTGACCTATACTAGAGCTTCTGTGCATCATCATTATTTTTCCCTTAGTTAGCTGTTGTTAAGTCTGTGACTGGGTGGTTTCATCAAACATGTCATCCCTCCATCACATTATTAAGCCCTGGCTTTCCTTTAAACACATCAGGGGTGAGCTGGCCTCGCCGCCACCACTCAGAAGTCACGTTGAGGTGTTCTGTGAAAAAGCCTTGTGTCTCAGTTTGTCTGTTTCTCTTCTGTGGTTTGGCTCTTTGTTCCGTCTTTCATTCTCGACCTTCAGTTTCGTTCAGCGCAGCTCTTAAGTTCAGGCAGCCAGTGAGACTTCTTTTATGTACAACGACCAGACACTTGTAACTTACGGGCCTGTGTGTGTGAATGTGTGTGTGAATTTGTGTATTTGTGTGTGTATTCCAGGCAGACCTGCAGATCCACAGAAACAGCTGCTCGGCTGGTCAGCCTGCTTTGTCAGGCAAAGAACAAAATGTTACAGGTCTCTCACTTCCTCCGAAGGTGACCAGTGTTAGGAAATGATGGCTGGACACCACCGCACCACCGTCAGGTTGTCCGAACTCACCGACCGCTTCTTGGCCAGTTTCTTGTAGTCTTTGTATTTATCATCACACAACCGTGAGATGGCCTGGGATTAGAACAGACAAATAAGAGGCAGGTGGGATATTTGATTTTTTTAAAGAGTAAATATTTTTCACAACAGAAGAGAATGAATTCAGCTAACCACTGTGTTGAGATTTTTCTCAGGAGTAAATAATTTTAAAAAGCCAGCCTTAATAATTCTTGAAAATCACTGATTATTTTTGGGATTACAAGCATCTTTTAGAAWCGACAATAACAAAGCTTATGGATCAGTTTTTTTCCCAAATAAATAAATAAACAATTAAATTAAAAAAAATAAGAAGAATTTTGGACAGTTTAAAGTGGRGTTCACTGGAAAGATGCTAAACATTTAATATTTTACCTGTTGTAGATAACTCTTTTGATATCAGTTTGTAAAAAAAAAAATTCTGACCAGACTAACTCGTTAATGACGTGTTATCTTCAAACAGCTGCCATCTTTTCAATTTTAAAACAGTTCAGGCAAATTCTATTCCTTAAACTTTTAAATTGACATATGTTTTACTTTTCAAGGTTTCAAGGCAAAAAATATTATAATCATATTGCAGAAAGTGCACCAGCTGGAACTGAAAGCGCTAATGCTAGTTTTGTTGCTACTGCCACTAGTGAAACCACTTACAAGAATTCTATCTAAATAATTGTGTGAAGTGAAACTGATGTTTGTRGAAAAAGGCAAAAAAATAAATAAATAAATAAAAAATAGGCAAGATCTGCTCTGACATTTTAGAAATTGGACATGTTTCAGTTCAGACTAGTCATTAGCTCATCGGTCCTGTCAGAAATAAACTCTGTTTCTTCAAACTTCTACAACAGGTAAGATATCAAATCTTTACAATCTATGAAAAGAACACTACTTCAAAATGGCCAAATATTTATTAAAAGAATGAAAGGATGATGATTTGACTGAAACGCAGCTCTAAACCTGGTGTGAAAAATACTAAAATAGAATCAACTTTCATGTGTTAAGACCAGAATAAACAAACTTCAGATGTGATCATTTAAAAAATAATTTTAAATATTTTATTGACCAGAATTAGAAGATTTAAAATCAGTCGACAGTGTGTGTGTGTGTGTGTGTGTGTGTGTGTGTGTGTGTGTGTGTGTGTGTGTGTGTGTGTGTGTGTGTGT